GTTCCATGGGCAGTCAGGTTAAAAATTTAAACAGAGAGTTCGCCTCCTTATTCCCAGAGGAAGTTTATTATTCTTCTGTTTCTGCAGATCGCTCAGGGCTCCTGGCCGTCGTTCCGATGGCGCTGGTTTCTGGCCTGGCTCTGGTTCTGGGTCCCCACCGTTCCTCACGGTGACCATTAGGATCGCTCCAGTAACCTCTCAAAACAAACAAATATACATACAAACAAAAAATCTAGAATGGACAGACAACAACATGGAAAGCTTAGAATCAGACAGGAAACGCCCAGCGTGGACCCAAACAGGCCTCACTAGGTGGGACACAAAGATTAGTAACGCCTCACTGGGGTATTGGGGATTTCTCTGCACACCCATCCTAAATTAAAAAAAAAAAATGTATTGTACCTAAACTGATAACTGTATGGAATCAGGCTGAATACAAACCAAAATTGAAATGTCTATGAAGAAGTCACAGGATGTAGTTAAGAAACCGCATCTTCCCATCAACATACTATTAATCAATGTCATGTCAATTGATGCCATGAGGTTGTAAATGGCTGTTGACGGCATGTCGGGGCCTTTAATTGTTTAGGATGATGCTTAGCTGGACTTACCTTCAGACCAGAGATGGTCTCACCAAGAAATCATTGAACCCACTAGGATAATAAGACACTGGACTTTATGCTTGGTAAATATTTCCAATGAAAGACCTTCAACTGAATTTGAACTGTGGTAATACAACAAGGTGGAGAAATCCACCATGGGGAGAGGGTTCGGGGAGGGGAGGGGGGAATCCCAGTGCCCATAACACTGTGTCACATAATGCAATACAATTAATAAAATTAAAAAAAAAAAAAAAACTTAAACAAAATGGTTTGGGCGCCACCTTGTGGTGGCACGTTAGAAAGCAGGCCGAGTGGCCCATTCTACCAACTGGTCAACCGCTCCATGGGGAGTTAGGTAAAAACTTAAATAAAATAAAATGGTTTGGGCGCCGCCTTGTGGTAGCATGTTAGAAAGCAGGCCGAGTGGCCCGTTCCACCAACTGGTCAACCGCTCCATGGGAATTAGGTTAAAAACTCAAATAAAATGGTTTGGGCGCCGCCTTGTGGTGGCATGTTAGAAAGCAGGCCGAGTGGCCTGTTCCACCAACTGGTCAACCGCTCCATGGGAATTAGGTTAAAAACTCAAATAAAATGGTTTGGGCGCCACCTTGTGGTGACATGTTAGAAAGCAGGCCGAGTGGCCTGTTCCACCAACTGGTCAACCGCTCCATGGGAATTAGGTTAAAAACTCAAATAAAATGGTTTGGGCGCCACCTTGTGGTGGCATGTTAGAAAGCAGGCCGAGTGGCCTGTTCTACCAACTGGTCAACCGCTCCATGGGGAGTTAGGTAAAAACTTAAATAAAATAAAATAGTTTGGGCGCCGCCTTGTGGTAGCATGTTAGAAAGCAGGCCGAGTGGCCCGTTCCACCAACTGGTCAACCGCTCCATGGGAATTAGGTTAAAAACTCAAATAAAATGGTTTGGGCGCCGCCTTATGGTAACATGTTAGAAAGCAGGCCGAGTGGCCTGTTCCACCAACTGGTCAACCGCTCCATGGGAATTAGGTTAAAAACTCAAATAAAATGGTTTGGGCGCCGCCTTGTGGTGGCATGTTAGAAAGCAGGCCGAGTGGCCCGTTCCACCAACTGGTCAACCGCTCCATGGGGAGTTAGGAGAGACTTACCATTTTCATGAAGTCCTGACAAACTTCCAGGAACTGCCAAAAAAAAAAAAAAATCTAAGGCGTTTTGAATCCTGGACATCAGTATGCCAACAGACTCTGTGTGTGTATGAGAGATCTATGGATCATTTCTATGAATGATCAAACACGGGTGTCAATAAGTTGCCTGAGACTCCCTTCAAAAGTATATGTGTTCATTTAGAAACCTAAACTAAAAGGGCCAGCATATCAGGCTGAGCCACAGCTTGCAATGCCAGCATCTCTGTTAATGTGACTGGGATGCAGTGGAAGGTGGTCCACACACCTGAACCTCTGCCACCTGCTTGGGATGCAGTGGAAGGTGGTCCACGCACCTGAACCTCTGCCACCTGCTTGGGATGCAGTGGAAGGTGGTCCACGCACCTGAACCTCTGCCACCTGCTTGAGATGCAGTGAAAGATGGTCCACGCACCTGAACCTCTGCCACCTGCTTGGGATGCCAGAGTTGAACTCCTGGCTGCTGGATTCATTCTGGCCCAGCTCTAGCTGTTGTGGTCACCACAGAGACCCAGCAGATGGAAGATCTTTGTCCTTCTCAATTGCTCGGTCTCAAACAAATCTTTAAAATAAAAATGGAGATGAACAATTAACACTTTTACACAAAGTGTTCTTAAAAGGCCCAAATTTAAAGTTAATATTTAATCTTTTAAAAAATCAATCCAAAAGTTCAAATTTAGAAGACCTTAACTAAATATACAGATATTTTATACTTATTAAATATATCCTTAAGTCATTTTTATGAAATGAGAATGTTAAATTTAAAAAGTGGGATAAAATTGGTTGCTATTTTTGACCTAAAATATTTTATTGGGGAGGTTTTTGTGTATATGATTGAGAATTTGAACAGCAAAGCTGTTATTAGACGCTACTATGAGTGATAAAATCATGTGGTGTCTCGTATTTTAATTCTATTTAAAATTCCCAAATTTGATGTGATGAGCAGGCGGTGCTAAGATGTGAGTGAAAACTCCTGATGTAATACATGAAGGCTATAACATTAACAGTTAAGTTCTCTTCACTCTCCATCAAGACCACTCCCACATAAGGCAACCTGCGCACCCAAGGTCAAGCAGAGAAAATAATTGACAAACGAGACAACCTGGAGGAAAAACACCTTCCAGAGGTTTGAGAACGACTGTAACATCACAGCGACGGACTTTCTTCCTGTTGGAAGTAGACGGAACAAAATACGACAATTGAGGTTTTTTTAAGTTATAGTTAAGTTTCAGCATCTCTTTCAAAAATTCATACAAACATGGAAGCTAAGAACACCTGCCAGCCTGACTGAAGTTTCTTGTTTTTGACAACCTGTTTATTTTTTATTTTGATATATATTTTTGGTTCAGAGACTTGAAGAAAAACATGATGATTCCTTTAAGATAAGAAAAAAAAAAAAAACAAAAAAAAAAACCAGTCCTGATGAGGCTCATGCTGTAATAAACCCTTGGAGCTGGTTTAGCTCATGTGTACTCCTCAAAGGTCAAAAGCAACAATTCAAAGAGTGTGTGTGAATGCAGGTTCTGGGTTTTCAAAACGAATGATCAAATAATTCGGTTAAGTAAATTTAGTTTTTGCAGAGATTCGCCACCTAATTCCTGCTTCCTTGCTGTCTGAATTTTCCCTAGAGCTCTGATCATAATCATGGAAACAGCAATGCAGACACAACCGCTGGCAGTCCGATCATCCCAGTGCCAGCCACCGTGAACAGTTCTCGAACAGCCCGGAAGGAGCAGTCGCTGTGTGGGGATTTTGCCGCTGGGGAGACGGCAGGACAAACCAACATGCTCCAGTCAGTGTATTTAAGTGGTTTAAAAACTCCAAGCATTTTTCAACTGACAGAAAGGCTGAAACTTTGCTCAGCATATCACATGAGCGCACCGCCTCAGGGAGGCGAATGTCTTGGGGGAGCAGTTTGTCACCTCTCACCATGTTTATGAGGCAGAGCAACGGCAAGGGAGTGTCAACCACACCGTAAATTTGGCAATATAATACATCGAATATCTGATATGATTACCACAGTGCAAAAATTTTCCAAGTTGAAATCAACTCTGGCTTTATTTACTCATCAGCATTCCAATCTAATGAAATAATAAACTTGGCCCATCAACACATAATCCATTTCTTTCATCATAGTAACATTTTTCATGCAAGTAACAGTTTTAATGTCATAATGTAACTGCTGTAAGTTAAATTGATTCAATTTAATTAACAAGCATTTATTTCGCGCCTACCTGTGCACAGCACTGTCCTAGGCATACAAAAGGATGAGAAGATACGGTCCCTGCTCAAAGGGAGCTTACAACCTGTGTAGGAAAGACGACGCGTGCATACAAGAACCACTGAAAATCACATGGAGATAAACATAACTAACGACCTACGCACTCAAGGCAGCCTGTCGTGAAGGCTCCGTGATGGAGAAGCGATGCTATCGGGAAAAGACGATCAGCAAGAGGACTGACAGAATCGTGAGGTCAGAAAGGAGAAACCACAGGAGGGTGACACACATCAGCATGGCCGGTGCAGGGACTGGCAGGGGGACTGGTGTGGCTCCAGAGAGGGGCGGAGTGGAGGCATGCTGCCCAGGCTGGTGAGGGCAAGTGGGCATGGCTGCTCGCGGTCAGGGCTGATGTTCATTTTACAATATTCTTTCAACTCACCGAGACACAAAAGCCCACAAACAGAAGTGTGTTTTCTAGCCTTGACAACAAAGCAACGAAAACTTGTAGAATGCTGAGAGAGTAAGCCCAGGGAAACGGTCACTGAAATTCGAACAGACACACTGTGGGGCAGCAGTCACTTCTGGCATTGGTTCTCTTCCTTACTTGAATTGATGAAGAGCTGGGTTGGTTCAGAGTCAAGAAGCTCGTGAAGGCAGGAGACATCCCCACTCTGCACTCGCTTAGCGACTCAATTCCTTCTCAGGCCAAATCCAGGCTGCATGTATATTTGTGGGAACAGGAGGAAAAAATATATTTATATATATATATATGTTTCTGCTCTCGTAAAAGTAGGTGAGTTCCTTATTTTCTGAGCTTAGACGGAAAAACAGGAAGGTAAAGTCACGCGTAGCTCAAGACAAGGCTGAAGAAATGGGCTTTAGCAAACAAGCATTGTTTTGAAAATTAACCCCCATCCTAGCCTACATAGCTGGGTCACACCAGCAATTTACTGCATTAAAGCAGGGGGGCAGAGCAGGGCAAAAAGCAGTGGCGCAGGAACAGATCTGTAATTGAGAAGAGGTGGAGACCCCTGGTTCACGTGGGACTGATGATGCTTTTATGCAAGAACATGACCTTGATAATCCGTCTGGGGTAGAACAAGGGGTTGTTTCTTCAACAGAAAGAAACCGTCCAGATATCTGTGCGAGTTACTGGCCACCACCAGCTGCGGCTGTTAAAAAAGAGAGAAAGCGCTGATCCAACAAAGGCACATTGAGCTCGGTTCCTGCTTAGCTGTCTAAGGGGAGGCTGTCTGAAATGTGCATCTTCCAAAAGTGCCCTACTCTGCTTTAATACTCACCACTTTTCTATTCAAAATGTTTCTATATTTACTTAATAAAATTCTGATAAATTGCAATTACAGGAGAATCAAAGTCTTGCTTTTTTGCAATGCTTACTCACAACTGCAAATGTAATGAACATGGAGATGTATCATTTTCAGATCTTTCCAAAGCCAAGAGGTCCTCGTTGTCCAATAACTACTCAGGGCATAGTTACTGTGAGACTGCACACAGCTCGGGGAAAGTCAGCTAATGGCATGCTAGAACATTGCACCATTATTTCATTAAGGGAACAGTAAGTCTCAACTAGAATTCTTAGCTTAGAATCCAGAACTTTGCACCTACCACTTTAAGCACGAATTTGGTGCTGTCCTGTTACACAAAAGCGCTGCTGGGATGTGTGTTGTATGCTGTTCTAGTTCCCCATCTGCAAAGTCTAAATGAACCTACGCAGCACCCACTACTGTAACCCCTTCTTAGACTTCAAGTCTACAGTCATCACTTCTCAGGTAAGGGCTATGGGCTGGACACAATTAGAAAAAGAGATCTAGTCACTGCTTCTCTTGGTGAAGGACTCGTGAAGGTTTGTCTAGGCCACGGAAGTAAGACGCTGGAATGACCTCTTGCCTTCTCCCAAACATGACAGTTACAGAACTGAAGACACGGAAGTGGGAATAAACTCTTAAGAAAGTGACACTGAGAGAGGACAAGCAGTGACTGTTAAACTAACATCTATTTTAACAGAAATTTTACGTTCATAGTTGAGAAGCAGCACAGTTCACAGGAGAGCTCCACAAAGCTCAGACTTTTGCAGCACCCGGCACCCCCAGACATGAACATTAAGGGGATGACTGTCTCTGTCTTAGGCAGCAAGTTCAGGTTTACGAGTGGAGAAGTCGTACCTCCCGCCCCTATGTAATTCTTCCCCCATGGACTCAAGCGATGCTGGCCAGTCGTCACCTGGACGATGATGGGGAGGGCGCACTAACCCTCCCCTCCCGCGCTCCCGGAAAGGCCCGTGACGAAGAGGGCTCTGTCTGTGTCGGCCCTGCACTTCCTGACTCTGGAGGCTGGCCTTCCAAGGACCACTTGCGTTCTTGTTTCCCGTGGAAATGATCTCCTGATTACCACAGAGGATTGGTTCCAATACTCTTCAGGCACCAAAATTCACAGATACGCATATCCCTACCACAAAATGGCACTTTTTAAGTATAGCCTACACACACACATTAGACCATCTCTGGATTGCTCACACTGCCTAATGCGATGCACATTGTAGGTAAACAGCTGCCAGGATGTACTGTTTAAGGGATAATGATGTTATTTTTAAATTTGCACAGGATTATTCCTAATGTGATTTTATATAAAAAAAAATCATGTTTTTGATTGGCAGTTGATTGGATCTTTGGATGCAAAACATGCATATTACAGCTAGGGAGGGCCAAGTTTACTTTATAATTCAGCAGGCTTAGAAAAAGCACAGCTAATGGATTAGAGGAGGCTCCTGGCAGCCACTGTGATGAGCTCAGAGAGACACACCCCTGGGATCTTCCCATTGTCTCCATCCAAGTGTAAAAATAGTCAAAATGTGCAAGGGCGAGTCTGCCTTTGTGTCTGCAATGTGACTTTGGGGTGTTCTCTTCATTTTCTACCAGTATTCAAGGTTAATTTTTTTAAAAAGCTACTGTTAAATTTACATTCCTAAGTTTTTTTTCTTTCTCCCCTTTTAAAATTCCTCGTAAAACAACCCATCTCCCTGAATATAAAGCGAAGACTTGAAACACGGGCCATGGGACTGTGGACGGAATTGCCCACTTCAGGCAGACCGCCCGCTATCGAACCCTCCATTTGGAGGAACAAAGCAAAGCGGGGAGCACGGCGGCAGCTGAGAAATGAAGCTCGCGCCCTCAGCGCCTCTCACCTGCGCGGGCGGCCGCCATCTTCTTGTTCCGCATCTTGTTCTCCAGCGCTTGCTACACCGGAAGAGACGGGAGCAGCAGTCAGAACTCCTCCCTTCCTCCTTGACACTAAGTAAGACGACGTTTCTGTGAAACGCATTCTTACCATTTTCATCTTCTTTTTGAGATCCAGGTTTGCTGCCTTCTGGCCCTTGGCAGTAGCATTGAGATAATAGATGGTCAAACTAAATGTAGAAAAATAATAATAAAATAAAAAAATAATAATAAAGCAAAATGCATGCCATCTTTCAGCTCCTCGAGATTCTTCGTAAACTGACGGTGACTAAATCCTTCGATGAGCGCGCAGGGGGTGCCACCTGTACTGTGTAGGTAGCAGTGAGGGTTCGGCTCAGGACTGCCCAGTGACAAGGACGAGTCCAGGAGGGTCCCAAGCTCCGTCCTCCAGGCTGCACCACTCAATACTGGCTTCCTCTTGGAAACACACTGACATCATATTAAGTTGTAATTAAAAACAACTTGTTAATTTAACAGCAATGGTATCCAAGAGAGGAAAATGTATTGATGCTACATGTCAAAAGAGGAAAGCCACATTCTACCCTAAATTCCCTCCTTTGGCCTTTAACTGGGAACAGAATCCTCACAGGCGTAGTAGATTAATATGGATTTTTTCCATAAAATATATTGTTTCCATTTCTATTTCTCCTTGTCTTTATAAAAGAATATGCTTCCAGAAAAAGCAAATTGCAACCTAGCAATTCTGCTAAAAGCAGTACTCTCATCTTAGGGGGAAAAAATGAACAAAGAAAAAGAAATGCTCTTTAAAAATGAAAGTGACACTGCTGTTTGTGGCAAATAGTTGGGTACTGAACACATCTCCTCTACTCGCCACCGTGCCAGATAATATCTTTTATATCTTTTATGGGCCATCTGGAGTTAGCAACCCAATTATTGATACACTTTAACTGGGTTGTCTCTTATATCAGTGGAGGGAGTTTGGAATTACAGACATGCAAGCAGGTATCTAAGGATTATCTGCCACACACGCACACACACACACACACAGGTGTTCGATAAATGTGTGTGTGTGTTGCAAGGATTTGCCTAGAACTTTCCCTTGATTTGGGTGGCAAAGTCGAAGACCTCAGAAGTCATTTCCGTTTGTGGATTCTGATCTTATCAACACTGGTTCCCTGCCTTGCCATAACTCATTTCCTCATTTCCAAAGGGATCCAAGTGCCTGCGGAGAACTAACCGAGCTCTACTCAAATGCTGCAAAACCATCGAGGCTCATTCTGGAAGAACCACTGGGGAAATTCAAAATGTCTCTTAATTAAAGGTAATAAAAAGCCAAGCCAACCGTATGCGCCCTATAAAAGAAAAAATGAGGCCTCCGGGTGTGAAAAAAAAACCATAAAATCAGTAATAAACTGAAATTTGGACTTTAAATCAGAAGCTCAGAGCTAACACTGGCCCCTCCTGGGTCTCAGCTTGCCTTGCAGGGTGTCCCAACAAGGGGCAGGCCTACGACTTCCAACTCCAGCCCAGCCCCCAGGCTGGTTAGTTTGGTCCATGAACTCAGAACGCTTTTCACATCCTTAAGTGGTTATGTGAGTATTCACTAAGATCCTCAGTGACATCTTGGCCTAAAACATCTGCTGTCTGGTCCATCCGTGACTACCAGCTTGGAGCCCATCCGATGTCTCCACTGAACCAGAACTCAAGTATGTGTAAAAAAAAAAAAAAAAATCGGTGAGACTGAGAAGGCAGGACTTGAAGTCCGTTTCTCCAATGCCAGCGTCGGCTCCCGGCCTACACCTGCGGCAGACTGCTCACTGTTTAGACAGTGGCATTTGAATCAAGCTGCTCCTCTGCTTACAAACGGGCATCCCTCAGCAAAGAACACCATCACAAAAGCTAGGACGTTTCTACTGTGTGTGCATGTTCTGAACAGGATCTCACTTATGCCACTAAAATGGCCCTGACTCGCAGAGATGCTCAGATATCCGAGACATGCTCTTAGAAGCCACTGCTGTCATGAACGTGTAGAGTACGGAAATCACTTTGATGGCCATCTGGCGAGACACGCTGCACTCGCTCGACAGGTCGTTTCCCAACACACCCAGAGATGTCGTTATCAGATTCTTTAGGTCGCCTCACCATCAAGGGTCTCTAATTTATAAGAGCGATCTGTCTTGCTGTTGATTTTTCCCATCAGCTTTTCTGCATAGAAGACATCCCGGGTTAAGGAAGTGAACATTGGATTCCCTGCCAATGGATTTAACTCCCAGCACTGCCTTTTTAGTGTCTCACGTAGCAGGAAAACTCACTTCCCACCTGCCCTTTCTTAGTTTATAAAATCTATAATGTTGCGTATGACGCCTGCCCCCTCTCTTAGGAGACTTGAGATCGTGGTCACAACCAAGATGACGGTAACAACTTGGTCGGATTCTCAGCTCATTTACTCCAACCCACTGGGAGATGGCGCCCTGGGGATTCCTCCCTTCGCCTTTATCCAAACAATCCCGCCCTTCCCATCAATGCTGTTCCTGAAGTGTCTCTCAGGTGGATTCATCCCTGCCCTTCTTGATTGATGGTGCAGGAGGCACTTTGGGGTTTAAAGGAAGAACTGAGGCACTTTTCTTGGCTTTTCCATAGTAAGTATGTATTTTTATTTTAGAGGCAAGTGTATATGGGTTGACCAAGGCTCCGAAGCCAATAAAAGTTCTATGGGAACAAAACCTCCTGCCAAGTTCTTCCTCAGAAATCACTGTGAAGTGACATTTGCAAGACCCTCTGGTCCTCTGGTTCTATTAGCATAAACACACTTACTGACAGTCTTCTAAGGACACAGGGTAATTATTAAGACCCCTTAAGCTCTTGGTTCTAAAATACAGCTTATGGAGCCCCCCCCCCCCAGGGGTCACTAACTTGGAGGCTCATCATTTCTGTATATGCACAGCCATCTGCTTTACGGAATAAGAGCTGGGGGGCGGGCTGCGGGGGACGCTCCAACATACTGATTAGATTTAGCCCTTAACATTGATGTTTCCCTGGCTTTAGCTGTTTACTGATAATTATTTTGGTTACTTGGGAACAAATCCTATAATCCCGGGGAGGGAAAGCCAGATGCAGATGGCTGTGAATTCCATCCAATAAGATAAGAATATGCCTCATGAATTTCAGCTCTCAAAAACATGTAATCAGCCCTGAATCTGGCTGGGTTACAGCACAGCCCTTGGGGAGGAAAGAGCTGGAATGGCCGACACTCCCGAGGAGCCAGGGAGCACAGCATAAAGACCCTGTCCGCACAGGGGAGGTACGCACGCCATCACCAGCACAACAGCAATGACCAGTCCGGGGTTCGAGAGCTGCCTCAGTATCTTCGCCATCCAGCTGGGAAAGTCATGTTCCAGGGTCTCGCCAATGACTTCGAACATCCGATTTTTGCCACTGAGAAAGAAAAAGGGGGTGGGTGGGGAAAAAAAAAAGTATATGGGAACTATGATTAGTTCAAGATCATTAGAAATCTTTCTACGATGCCCGTACTCTGTCACATTAAAAATCTTATACTGAGCTGCAACTCCTAATATTTGGCCCCATGCATTGTCAACACGTGGATAAGATCTGAGAAACGGTGTCCCAACAAAAACACACAGCCGAGGCTATTAAGAAATTAGTCACGGCATTAGAAGACTTCTACAAACTGCATTTCTAAAACTTGGATTGAATATGTTTTACAAGCAGCCCCCAAGCTTGCCCTCTCAGCCAGCAGTTGGAGAATGAACTCTTTGGGCAGAGTAAACATGTTTAGTTTGTAACTGGCTTTGGAAATGAGCACAAAGAATGGCCCGCCGAATAAAAGGCACATATAATCCAATAGCTCTTCCCATGCGATGCTTTCACCCTCCAACACAAAGGGTGATAGCACGGAGAACAGCACGTGCTTCTCTGTGTTCCCTCTGAACGCCACTAGGCCGCGCTGCTGTGACTCTCCAAGGCCACGGAACACCTGCTACCATCGATTGGGAAGGTGAGAGCAGGCTATCTTAACTTAGATTATCTGCAATTTCAATGTCAGATTCACTGTACAAAGCTTTTTGATACATATGTTTTAGAAAAGATAGGGTGTGTTTCACCAAATTGTATGTATCATCAGAATAGAACATTTTCAACTATTAAATAAATACGACCCATAAGTTCCAAATCAGATTTTTTTTTCTCCCTTCAGTCAGAACTAATACCGTCATCCGTCAGGCAGAGGGTGTCATCAGGTATTTTGTCAGCAGTTACAGCACTGAAGGGGACAAATTTTGCTTCAAAGATTATAGATTTATACAATAATTAATAAGACTTAAGATACATAACGGGGGGGGGGCGATGCAGCCTCCAGATAATAATTTAAGATTAAATTACTTTGATCCAATGCAGCTTCATCATTTTTCTCTGCTAATTGATACATCCCTTACCTGCAGCCACATGGAGCACAGCGAAAGAATTAAAAAGAATCAGAAAGAACCAGAAAATCCATCCTCCCATCTCGGGTCACAGCTGATGAATATGGTCAGAGTAGGGGGCCTAGAACGTTATTAAATCATGTCTATTCCAAAAATATATTTTTAAAAAATAAAAAGACTTATTTATTTTTCTTGGAAAGTCCGATTTACAAAGAGAAGGAGAGAGAGAAAAATCTTCCAAAATCTTCCATCCACTGGTTCACTCCCCAAGCAGCCACAGGACCAAAGCTAAGGCGATCTGAAGCCGGGAGCCAGGAGCTTCCTCTGGTCTCCCCTGCAAATACAGGGTCCCAAGGCTTTGATTCGTTCTCTACAGATTTCCCAGGCCACAAGCAGGAGCTGCATGGGAAGCGCAGCAGCCAGGACACGAATCAGCACGCACGTGGGATCACAGCGCATGCAAGACGGGGGTTTCGGCCACTAGCGTATTGCACCGGGCCCTGCAAAAAGATCTTAACATGGTGTTTCAACACAAAGTCGCCCAAATCTCGCATTCTTGGGTCCCCTTTTCCAAACCGAGTCTCGCCAGAAAAATGAGTCAGATGTCTTAATCACTGTCAAATTACAGAAGCATCTCTCAATCCCCAGCGAGCCGTGCCTGGTCACCCGGTGTGCCGTGCCAGTGTCCTGTGAACTCCTCTTGTCTCCGACTTCACATGCCAGAGATGCGGCCAGCGTCATCTGCTCCACACATGCGCAGTCTGCGGGGAACGCTTTCTGCTGACCCGGACTGAGCCGTTCTCGGGATCCGAACACCCACTGGGTGTGTGAACCTGCCTCTACGCGAACAAGACTGCCCCACCTCCTAGCACGCGCTATCAGTCATTACTCACTCATTAACAAAGTAGCATGCAGGACTGTGTTCTGGACTTACAGAAATGAAAGCACGAGCCGGAAACGTCAGGACAGTGGACAGGCTGAGGTATAAACCTTGGATGAACAATGCAACAGCAGTCGCAAAGCTGTATCTGGACAAGTTCTATCTGAACTTGTGCTGAGTAAATGAGCTCAGCTGCTTAAAGTCATCATAAAGAGGAAATCAGAATACAAATGCCAAAATGTTGTTATTTTTACTGTTTGAACGATGGGTCATATTTTTTTCCTTAATGCTAAGTTTCCACAATTTCTGGTTTCTCTAGGATAAACACATGTTGCCTTTACAGTAAGATATAAATCACATTATTTAAAAGTAAAATTTCCATTAACAGTTAAGTATGTGAGAAACTAAAAAATTACAAAATGTTCAAAATTCTTGGCATGATTAGCGAAAAATGCCAATTGTCAGGAAATGCGATGGAACAGTAACAATAATTATCTTCATTTGGACACTCCCCAAGTGACCACTACGACCAGTTCTGCACCGGTCCAAAGTCAGGAGCCAGGAACCTCCTCCAGGTCTCCCACATGGGTGCAGGGTCCCAAGGATTTGGGCTGTCCTCAACTGGTTTCCCAGGCCACAGGCAGGGAGCTGAATGGGAAGCAGGGCTGCCAGGATTAGAACCGGCGCCCATATGGGATCCCGGCACATTCAAGGCAAGGATTTTAGCCACTAGGCCGCTGCGCCAGACCCCGAATAACCATTCTTTTGTTCCAAACTGAGGAAAGCGAGAGGAAAATGAACCAAGTACTATGAAGCTACCTTCTCCCCAGTGTTGGAGTAAAACTATTTTAACTTTCTTGATCTCAAAATAGTACCACACGTGCAGTAATTTTACCTACATTTGCCAATAAGGACAGTCCAGGTTCAAATCGGATGCAATGCCTTACACAGACTCACGGGTTAGCAGTAAGAAGCTTGAGTAACTCAGTGTACGGCAAAAGGAGTTACTACTTAAAGAGTGAAACCCGCACCATCATTGTGGGGCTTACTCATCAGTGTTTTAAATCCAAATGCAGCTGTGTAGCCACCAGCCCGTTCCTTCCTTACACTGTGTGGTTTCCCTAGCGATCACTAAAGGCATTGCTACGTTTTACTGCGCAGGATCAACTTTCAGTTAAAAAACCTTAAAACGCACCTAAAAGTTATCCTAGATATTAAGTGGTGTGAGTAATTTGCAACTGAAGTCTTACAGCAGCATCTCTCTCATACTTGCTACTCTGTTACCAAACAAGACAAATGCCTCCTTCTCGACTGTAATTTCAGCTTTAGCCACCAGATGTCACTGTCCGCATTATCCACTTCAGCCAATACACATATACGCACGCTGAAGTGAAGAATCTTGTCAACTGCCATTTCCTGAGCATAACAGAGCTCCAGTTAGCCTAGCTCCATCAGCTTCATACATGCCTCTCTTTATACTTGGTCTGTGGACTCTAACAGCCTGAGCGGGACAGATGAAAAGCAAATTGCACGTCGCCACGCTAGCTCCACGCTTGCCACTCACAAGGTTTTTCACTCTCTCCTCTACTTCACAGAACGGAGAGAGCGGAACTACCTGCTGCCTGGTGACAGCACCCAGAGACTCTTGGGGGCATTTGCACCACATGAATGTCCAAGGCTCTTCAGGAAATGAAATCTTTTAAGACCTCTAGGACTTTGCTTTCTGTAACGTGTCATTACGAAATCTCTGTCCCGAGGAAGAGAAATAAAATACATGTCCAACTTGAATCCCAGAACCTTCCTGATTCCTGGCCACTTACTAGAGCGATAGTTTTGTGATTATATTTAAGGAATTGCATTTAACCTTTGTACTAGCATCTAGCATTTTGAGTAACTTTCTACTTATTCTTGCTTAACAATGATTTCACTTGCTAGGTAACCTATGGGGACATCTCCTTTCGAGGTGGTGGTCTGCGTGATTGTGGCTGAGCGTGATGGGCCGACACCAGGAAAATTCCCATACCAGCGTCAGTGTAATGGCATCCTGTCCGTTGCTGCATCCTGTGATGGAGACGGCTCAGCTCCATCAGTCACTCAGGAAGAACTTACAGCAGCACAAATTACTTCCCTTTTTACAATTTCCAAATGAGAAAACAGATGTCCCATAATGAGCAGAGTGGCCAAAGGATATCATTCCTCTAGCCAAAACGCAATTGTACACACACACACACACACACGCGGCCATTGGCGCCTCCACCCCCCAGGACACACGTGCACACACTGCAGCTCGTCACCTGAAAGGGCCACAGTCGAAGGACGGCGGGAGGGACACAATCATGTACAACACCGGCATGGTGGACAGGAAGAGGATGAGCAGCAGCATGCCCAGGTAGAAGTTGTTGGAGCGACTCGCCTTGAAGACTCTAGCCTCGGGGACGTTGCAGCACATCACGGCCCAGCACTGGAAGTACATGGACGTGTGCAGACGAAGGATGTTGATGCCCGGGAGACTCGGAGCAAAGAACGACCCCATCCTGCAGGGAAACAGGGCCCGGCTCCTTCTGAGTCCTGACTCCTCGCAGCATCACGCAGGGAGACAGGGCCCGGCTCCTCCTGAGTCCTGACTCCTCGCAGCATCACGCAGGGAGACAGGGCCCGGCTCCTTCTGGGTCCTGACTCCTCGCAGCATCACGCAGGGAGACAGGGCCCGGCTCCTTCTGGGTCCTGACTCCTCGCAGCATCACGCAGGGAGACAGGGCCTGGCTCCTTCTGGGTCCTGACTCCTCGCAGCGTCACGCAGGGAGACAGGGCCCGGCTCCTTCTGAGTCCTGACTCCTCGCAGCGTCACGCAGGGAGACAGGGCCCGGCTCCTTCTGAGTCCTGACTCCTCGCAGCATCACGCAGGGAGACAGGGCCCAGCTCCTTCTGGGTCCTGACTCCTCGGCAGTGTCACACAGGGAGACAGGGCCTGGCTCGGAGGGAGACAGGGCCCGGCTCCTTCTGGGTCCTGACTCCTCGCAGCGTCACGCAGGGAGACAGGGCCCGGCTCCTTCTGAGTCCTGACTCCCCGCAGCGTCACGCAGGGAGACAGGGCCCGGCTCCTTCTGAGTCCTGACTCCTCGCAGCGTCACGCAGGGAGACAGGGCCCAGCTCCTTCTGAGTCCTGACTCCTCGCAGCGTCATGCAGGGAGACAGGGCCCGGCTCCTTCTGGGTCCTGACTCCTCGGCAGTGTCACACAGGGAGACAGGGCCCTGCTCCTTCTGAGTCCTGACTCCCCGCAGCATCACGCAGGGAGACAGGGCCCGGCTCCTTCTGAGTCCTGACTCCTCGCAGCGTCATGCAGGGAGACAGGGCCCGGCTCCTTCTGAGTCCTGACTCCTCGGCAGTGTCACGCAGGGAGACAGGGCCCGGCTCCTTCTGGGTCCTGACTCCCCGCAGCGTCACGCAGGGAGACAGGGCCCGGCTCCTTCTGAGTCCTGACTCCCTGCAGCGTCATGCAGGGAGACAGGGCCCGGCTCCTTCTGGGTCCTGACTCCTCGCAGCGTCATGCAGGGAGACAGGGCCCGGCTCCTTCTGAGTCCTGACTCCTCGCAGCGTCACGCAGGGAGACAGGGCCCGGCTCCTTCTGGGTCCTGACTCCTCGCAGCATCACGCAGGGAGACAGGGCCCGGCTCCTTCTGGGTCCTGACTCCTCACAGCGTCATGCAGGGAGACAGGGCCCGGCTCCTTCTGGGTCCTGACTCCTCGCAGCGTCACGCAGGGAGACAGGGCCCGGCTCCTTCTGGGTCCTGACTCCTCACAGCGTCATGCAGGGAGACAGGGCCCGGCTCCTTCTGGGTCCTGACTCCTCGCAGGGTCATGCAGGGAGACAGGGCCCGGCTCCTTCTGGGTCCTGACTCCTCGCAGCGTCACGCAGGGAGACAGGGCCCGGCTCCTTCTGGGTCCTGACTCCTCGCAGCGTCACGCAGGGAGACAGGGCCCGGCTCCTTCTGAGTCCTGACTCCTCGCAGCGTCACGCAGGGAGACAGGGCCCGGCTCCTTCTGGGTCCTGACTCCTCGCAGCGTCACGCAGACCTGCACATTCACCGGCTGCTTCCTCTCAAAAGGCGGGAATCGTATGACCGCTTTCAGCCGTGCCTTTTACATCAACCTATTTGCATCTTGCACACACATTCTACAGTTCTCCTGTTATTACAGGGATTGCATACATAATTCTTGTGCTATTAGCAACTATCCCTGCTGTCATTAATAAAGTAGAACAGGATAAGCGATATGTTATAATTGTTTCAAAATCCAATACAAGTTTCATTTCTCTTAACAGGCACATCAGTGATTAACAGACTTACTACATGTAATATTTTTATAATGGATTCTTAAACTCACTCATTCCAATCAAATGAACTATAAATTTGGATTCATTACTTTTGTCATAGTTAAGCTTTTCTGTTTAGATACTATTTGTTCTTTGTAGCTGCTGAAATGACTTATAACTCATTGGTCATTTAAAGCTAGCTTAACTGTATATTTTTAGTATGAAAATTTCATATGTACATCTAAATTCAGCTCAAATATTTAAATTTGTGCTTTAGTCTTAGCCACTGATTTTTTTTTTTTTTTTTTTTTTGCACACAACTTTTAAAAACTATTTTTTAAAGTGACATTTTTAATCAGAAAACCACTTGGGTTAGGTTACTTTTATTAGTGGCCTCAACGATTATCTCAACAAAATGTATTTTTATTTTTTATAAGAAAATCAGTTAGCAGCACGAAGGAATACAAGCAGTAACGTGCAAGTCCCAAATCAGAATGAAGGTATATATGAACTTGTTTTACAAATATAAGCAGAGCCTTATCTTCTCAACTGTCCCGAGTACAGAAACGCTCGCAGCATCACTACTCTAGTATTGTATACTCCTTGCACATGCAGAATCACAGAGTAATCCATGCAATGTAAGTGCAATGCATTATGGGGAAATTTCTGAGTTAAGCAAAGAAATTAGTTTCTGCCATAACTGTACCTGTGCTAACCCAGATATAACTCACTCTTTGGTGGGTGAAATCGTGTCATGATTCGGGTTGTCGTGCTGACAGAATTGTGAACAGCAGGTATGAAGGATATTTTATGTCGCGCCCACGTGTCTTACCGCCCAGCAATAAGACGCAGACGCGAGTGAAGCCTCCTGCGGTAAAATTTATTGTGCACAGCAACATGAAGAGGAAAGAGGCTCAGATCCCGGCAGGCTTTCTGCTCTTATGTGCTGTCTGGCCCCGCCTCCACCGATGATAGGTCGGCGTCATGATTACGCAGGGTTCTGGGCCACTGGATTCGTCAGTCCCAGTGTTTACGTGCCTAGCGCCGCAGCTCACTGCGCATGCGCTAGGCGCCTGCGCAGTACTGCGAAGGCTACGTGACTCTGCACCAAACACCAAGATGTGGCTTCTCTGGCCGGCGCCATTTTGGGTACGGCATGTAGCCAGTACATACAGATATGGCTGGCAACAATTTTAGTACACCAAATCAATCAAAACCTTTCTAAGATATTAAAGTATAGATATCTTTATAAGAGGATGGATTTTTAACACAGCCAAGTATGCCATTGCTACAGGGCAACAAGAGGAGAGATGGAAGTCCAAGAAAGCCAGCAAGTAGATGAGTCATAGCCTCAGCTGATAGGCCAAAGCTGCGAAGCCCTGGACAACAGCCCCAACTGCCACTCCTCCTGGTGCAATACACCTGTGTAAAAGTCAGTCTTGGCCATATGGCTTCCTTCAGAATAAAACTATAATGAGGAGACCAGCATGGTAGCCTAGTGGCTAAAGTCCTTGCCTTGCACGTGCCAGGATCCTACATGGACTCAAGTTCTGGTCCTGGTGGCTCCGCTTCCCATCCAGCTCCCTGCTTGTGGCCTGGGAAAGCAGTCAAGGACAGCCCAAAGCCTTGGGACCCTACACCTGGTTGGGAGACCTGGAGGAGGCTCCTGGCTCCTGGCTTTGGATTGGCTCAGTTTTGACCGTTGCAGTCACTTGAGGAGTGAATCATCAGATGAAAGAGCTTGCTCTCTGTCTCTCCTCCTCTCTGTATATCTGACTTTACAACAACAAAATAAATATCAAATATGTATATATGAAATATTTCACTATTGGATAGAAATTGCACATTTCTGTACTATTTTTCACTCTTCTCTCTGCTGCTACTGTCACCAGCAAAGTTTCAAACGGACCTTATTCCATCCGTGTGAATTGTTAAAGTGAAGCTATAAGAGCCAGAGCTCTACCCAACACACACTGAATGCGTTCTTTTCTTAAGCCACTAGAATTAGAAACTGAGTTTCCTGGCTGCCCAGCTTAGTTGATGCTAAGACATAGGTTTGTACATAATTTCAAAAACAGCCTTGAGGAGAGCCACATGCAGTTACACATACATATGCATTGCTTGTCTATGTGCGTGAATGCATGCAAATACAGTATATGGATTCACAGCAACAAATAAATTAAAAACACTACCACACATAGATATTTTGTACAGATTACTCAAAAGTCATAATCCAGGGGGAAAAAAGGTCCAGGCATCCTAACAGCTGGTCTCAATGCTCCTCCTCTCTTTGCTCACGACTGTCTCAGCAGTTCAGCTCCCTGAGTCCCTCCCCCGGTCTTGACTGCATCATCTCTCAGTTATAACTCATTCTAATACCTTAGCTTTATAAAGTGCTTTACTTCCAAGAAGATCAAAGCAAAAGAAAGCTTCTTTTGTTTAACTCCCCTATTGCTCCAGTGACAGGTATATGTCAATTACTCACATGTGACAACTGAGAGAGAAGTGGCAAGGCTCAGAAAGCTCCCCAGTCAGCAGCACAGAAACGTGCAGAACTCTGCGTCTCTCTCTACGCGTTCTCTGCTGCTGCTCTGTCTCCTGCCTGGATAAGGATAACATGTGCTTTCCTTGCTTAAAAACACCAATGCAGGACCTTATGGTGCCATGTAAACATGAAATACAAACGTTGTTGATCATTTCATCCAAATCACAACAGATTAGATTTTCCCTGTGAATGCTGACTTCCGTCATATCTGCAAAAAATAAGTTCTACTGCTCAGGAATTCCTAAAACAGCCACTCAGAATTTCCAGTCACAAAACAAAGGGCTTGAACACGAAAACTCTATACCATTTTTTTTTTCTATAAAATGGTTAAACTTAGATATCAGATCCTTATGCTTAAAAAAAAAAAAATGCAATTGTCTGTCCTGAGGAGCTTGTTTACACAGAGCCTCTGCTTGCACTTTTCCTCATTACTCGCTGTCTCCGTCAACTGCCTCACCAACTCCCCGGGAGTTTCAGAAGTATGTCTGGATTGATGCGAAGGTGAGTAATGGGATGACGCTCTGGAAAGTGCCTGAATAGCTGTGCCGTCAAGAAAACCCATACTGTCATTCGAACATGCTCTGCAGACCAACCGGCATCAAGCCTGGTCGTTGTCTCAAGAATGAATACAGAGAAACCGACCCAGCAGAGACTTGGATAATGG